CCATCTGATTCAACTTGAAATGTTAATAAGGGAAGCCTTTCTCAAGAATGAACACCTTGTTTCTGTGTTCTTCGATCTCGAGAAGGCTTATGACACAACGTGGAGGTATGGAATTTTGCAGGACCTCCACTCCTATGGGTTGCCTAGCCATTTACCCATTTTTATTCAAAACTTTTTACTGAACAGGCGATTCCAAGTCCGTGTTGGTTCAACTCTTTCTCATTCCTCTCCACAAGAACTTGGAGTCCCTCAGGGCTGTGTTTTGAGTGTCACACTTTTTAGTGTTAAAATTAATGCCATCACTAATAATCTTCCTCTGACTGTTGCAAATGGGCTCTATGTCGACGACTTCCACATCTCGTGTCAGTCGTCGAACATGAGGTTTATTGAGCGGCAGCTTCAGACTGCCCTCAATCGGTTGTTGACATGGACCACTGCAAACGGTTTTAAATTTTCTTTTACCAAAACCTTTTGCATGCATTTTTGCCGCCAACAGTGTTCTTGGGGCTGGACCCCATTCACCATCTGGGGCTTCGGCTCTGCACTGAGGCTTTTCGCACTTCTCCAGTCCAGAGTTTGCATTCTGAGACCCACGAACCTCATCTTCACATCCGTCGTTAGCAACGTTTTTACAATATGCTACCAAGCTTCGATCCTTACCATGGCATTCCACCTGGGAATGTGTCTTACTTCCTCAGGGGGCCATGCTCTTTCTGAAAAGACGGTTTGCTATTCCTCCCTTTGGCCTTTGTATCTGGGCACAACTGGCTGAATTGTGTCTGGCATTGGATGACATTGCTGTCCCAAATGATCAGCTCGTTCCACCATGGCTTATTACCATCCCATCCTGTGACCTTTCATTGAGTCATCTGAGGAAAGCGGGTACTCCCAATTGGAAGTACTGTTTTCTTTTTGCCCATAATCTTTCGAGCCATTCTTCTTCTGCTATTTACATGGATGGTTCGAAATCAGGTGATTCTGTAGGTTCTGCCATGGTGTGCTGTGGCTTGGTAGTTGCTTGCAGGATCCCCTCTACAGTTTCTTTGTTCACTGCCGAGTTGTATGCTATTTCCTATTCCCTGCATCATTTAGAAGCTATGCAGTACAGTAATTGTACTATTCACACTGATTCTCTTGGCTCTCTACTGGCCCTGGAATCGCTTAACGTTAATTCTCACCCTGATCTCGTCGATATTCAACAACGACTGGCACATTTTTCTCTATCTTCTGTTTCCATCCAGTTTTTCTGGATACCTGGTCACGTCGGTATTCACGGGAATGAGCTCGCTGAAACCGCAGTTAAGTCCGTCTGCTCTGGTGCCATCATGGCCGTGCCTTGCCTGTACATGGACTATCGTCCTGGTTTCAAGGAGCGGTTTCGTGCCAGTTGGCAGTCAACTTGGGGTGAGGAACGTCATAACAAGCTTTTTCGAATCAAACCTTTTGTTGGTCTTGCTTCCATAAGGATCAAAAGGAGGAAGTTGTCCTTGCAAGGCTACACATTGGTCACAGTTTTTTAATTCATCATTTTCTTTTATCTGATATTGACCCACCAATGTGTAGCCATTGTGACACTCATGTCACAATAGCCCACGTTTTACTGTAGTGCCGTCGTTACGACCGTGAGCGGCGGCACCATTTTAGACACGTAATTTGTAAGAGTTTACCCCTGACGTTGGACAGTGTCATTGGCGATTGTGACACTGTCCAACCAGATTGTATTTTTAATTTTTTACGCAATATTGGTGTTTCTAATTGTATATAAATCTTTTATTGAAATTTAGGACATATTTTGGTTTTAACTTGCTGTATTTTTATATTTTAGTCTAATTTACTTTTACTGCTTTTACCGGTTGTTTAGCGCAGATAGCCTTGTTGCTTTGCGCCATAAAGCACCAACCAACCAACCATAACGTAAGACAACTACTAGAATGGAGTATGTTTTGTCCTGAACACCGTAGGGTTTTGAGAATTTATGAAACTGACTGGTATCATGAAAGTTAATGACAGAACAGCTGAACCATCTTACAATGTTTATATAATTAATAATCTACTGCTTGTACTTATGTTCATAGTACTGACATTGATGGAACTGGAAGAGGACTCGCCGAAAATATTGGATATTGGAGTGCCACAGACGAGGCCTTCTCTGTAAAATGAACAATATATTGGAGAGCCGCAGATGAGGCTTTGGCTATAAAATGAACAAGATATTGGAGAGCTGCAGAAGAGGCTTTGGCCATAAAATGAACAAGATATTGAAGAGCCGCAGACGAGGCCTTGGCTATAAAATGAACAAGATATTGGAGAGCTGCAGAAGAGGCTTTGGCCATAAAATTAACAAGATATTGGAGAGCCGCAGACGAGGCCTTGGCTATAAAATGAACAAGATATTGGAGAGCCGCAGACGGGGGCCTTGGCTATAAAATGAACAAGATATTGGAGAGCTGCAGAAGAGGCTTTGGCCATAAAATGAACAAGATATTGGAGAGCCGCAGACGGGGCCTTGGCTATAGAATGAACAAGATATTGAAGAGCCGCAGACGAGACTTTCGCTATAAAATGTCCAGGAAGACATTCACCAACCTATTTTGCAGCTGGAATATCACCAAATGCAGGTAAAGAACATTTTATCCACCGTGCAATTTGCCAAAACTTGCTTTCAGGTTTATGTTATGTTATTTCGTCGATTTGGTTTCATTTAATGGTATGTGCAAACTTAAATACAAGTCTAAGCACCTATAGTATTGTATTTTAATGTGACAAGCGATTAAAAAATATTATTATCGTGATGGTTTGCTCTAATGTCATTAGGTTTCTTATATATTCGTGTTTGTTTTCAAGTGCACGTATTTAATTTTTATAAAACTGCGTTATTTTTAAGATTACGTGTTACTAGTTATTATGGAAAGTTTACATCTGTTTTACATTCTTTAGTTATTCTCGTCAAAAATGTAACCGTTGATTTGGTTTCAATTTGTATTTAAAAATTTTAATTAACTGACATTAATTTGTGTTGGTTATTACTTTGTGTTTTAAGCTAATTTCAAAAATTCAGTTTAATTTGTAAGTGTATAATGATTTCGGTCTATTTTGTGTACGAGTTTTGAGCTTTGGGTTTATGTATGCTTTTCATATAAAGTAGGTACTGCACGTTTAGTTTCACGTAGCATGTCCTGCCTTCTTTTTCTATAATATTAATTTTGATTTCCATGTATTACGTTAACTTGCAGTTTAATTCTATTATTATACCTTATGTTTTCCTTTGTTTTATTTCGTATTCATATTTTTATTATTATTAAACTTATTATGAATAAACTTAGAAATGATTATTGTTTGGAAGCTCAAGGTCAAAGTTAAAGGTCACAGTAAGGGCACGAAAATAAGCAAAACTTCTATGTGTTAACATGAGGACCGATTTTTCACACTATTTTTGCTTTATAATTATGACCGAATTTTAATGAAACTTGTTGGATTTAAATAGAATATTATCCCTCGTTGTTCTACCAAAAATAGTTCGTGTCCTTTGATAACGATGGACATACAGACACGTTTTCCTATTTTTTTTAGGGCCGAATGTGATCAACGCTGCGTGGCGGAGGTATGAACTCTACTAAGTGCCTTTCTAGTTTAGTTTAGTTAATTAAAGGTTAATTTACTTCCAAATTATTTTTATTTCATTAATTACTAGGTTATGTGTTGCAGTCGGTTGGTTCTGCGTAATCCTGTCAAGGCTGTTTCTTACATATAATTTTGTATTTTTGTACAATTTGTTGTTTTGAAGAGTATTTTAATGCGTTTGAGTACAAGTGCTATGATATTAATTTTATTAACCAGATATAAGTTGTCGGTCGCGGCGTATTCGCTAATTTGCACAAATATCAGAATCAAACCAACAAAACATAAATTGAGATTTTCTGACAGTGATTAAGGTGCAAATAGAAGTGCTGGGAAAATATGATTAGATTTTTTTACGAAAAGTAAAGTCTTCAATATGACCAAGAATTATTTTGTCTGCCTTAACTTTGTTTTCGAGACATGTACATCCAAAAATTATGCACACTTATTATAAGTGAAGGCGAATTATAGTTACAACCAATCATATTTTATATAACTTATCAACAGGAATACTGAAATATGCATTTTTTATTATTTAGTGGGTGTTAACGGTAAATGATTATTATCATATTATGTTATCCTCCAAGAAAATAGAAATCACATAATGTTTTTTCTTCGTGATTTTAGGGGTTTTAGTACAGCATATTTGTTAATTTTGATGATATTCTTACGTAATACAATTCAGGATTTGTTTACTAATATTAATCTTATTTTGTGGAGCTATAAGAAAAAAATTAAATTAAAACTCAGTGCAGTTTCGCATATATTAAATGAAAGGCTTAGAAAAGTTAAAAATCTACCATGTCTATACACACGTCATTAAGACAACGATGAAACACAGTGCCACGTAACAATTCCACGAGAAACATGCAACATGAAATATTACATAGAAGTATGAGTAATAACACCTGCAAATTAAATTTTTCAGTGTGGTAGCTGTACATAATGACTGTCTAATTTGAAGTGAAAAATCTTGGGTTTTTAGTTCTCTTGCTTTTTTTTTTCTATTTACAATCTAACATTCTTGTCAGTAAGTTCTTGACAAATTATCATCTAAACAACTGGTTTTAAGCGAATTATATTTTAGTATTTTTTTAATGGGAATTTCATGGTTGCTAATTCTGCGAAGAGATAAGAATGAAAATTTCACCAGACTTGTTTGACAACTAAAGTTCTGCTGACGTCAGAATAATAAAATAAGACTGTTTTAAATACGTTGGTATTTAATATGTTAGTAGCCCTGTGCACCTTCTTCAACTAACTGACTAACGAATGGTTTAAGTATATTTAGAAAATATCTTTTCCAAAACTAAAATAGCATTATTACTTTTCGAAAACGTACATTTCGAACTCCCTCTTGGTTCTTCCAGTGATGTCATAATAGCTCCAATCTCTTGTTGCGGAATTCCCCTAAGGACAAACAAAGAAAACAACATTTTCTTACAGATAAAGGCAGAGTAGTAGTACAGTAGCGGAGTTAGTATATTGCAACTTCAACGTCTAGACTTTCACAAGAATCTTCTGTTATGTTTAAGGTATGTTAGTTATTATTTACCTATTATTTATACTAAGCGAACTTGTTAAGATGGGTCTATGTGAGGAATTATTTAATGATTATTTTTTAGTGTAAGATAATTTGATCACTGTTAAGCACAAAATTATACTATGGATTCTCGGTGCTGTGCTTAACACGAGTAGCAAAACCCGGTTTTTAGTGGTCTGATCCCTCAGACTTGCCGCTCAGCCACTAGTATAACAAAAATAATCAATGAAAATGAAGGAAGAGCAAAGAATGGCGATCTAAGTTGAAGTTAATAAGTACAAGTAAAATAAAAATATTTAGATTTTATAAAGACAATCGATAAACATGTAATCTAGTTAGCTATATAAAGTTTTAATGCTATAAAAAGTATTGAAACAAGAGAATCAAAACTACGATAACTGATTTACGTAAAAGTTAAAACATTTTATCTTTGTCTTTTATCTTTATCATTTTATCTTTGTCAAATCACTCTAATTATGTTAGTTTTAAATTTTAAGTAACTCAGTTTTTGTAGTTTTGACTTTCTTGTTTCAATACCTCTTATAGCAATAAAACTTTCTATATCACTATAACTAGTTAGGTTACGTACATATCGATCCCTACTTGTCTTTATAAAATTATAAATAAATTATTAAACTAGTTTGTTTCCTTTTTATTAGCTATATTTTTGGTGCGCCAGCAATACGAAGTGTAGACGGGCGTATACCCATTCGATTTTACTCATCAGGATCTCTACCAACCTATCTTACCCTCAATTCTAATTATATGCCCAAAGTAGCACATCGTTATCGTATGCTTCATACTAGTAACATTTTTCGGTACAAGAAATGAATATTTGGAACCCCAGACGTAGGAGCTCTATGAAAGAAGTAAAGTTCTTCATATTTTCTGTATGCTTGTCTGGAAAAGTCACTTACTTACTTACTTAGATGAAAATTCATTGAAAAAGTGAGATTTTGAATTCCTCCATAAACACGTATATCGTGATTTAGGCAGCATTATAAGTACAATCAGCTTTAATTTTTTCAGTCAATACTGTGAATTAGTCTTTGTTAATATTCAGACATTTTAAAAGTGGTTTTAAACGGGCGATTTTTATAGCTGCTATTATGTTTTCATAACAATCCCTGCTATTAAGTAATACCATATCTAATGATTGTTACAGAAGCCTTGATCAGTCTGTAAGAGGTATGATAGTTAGTGTTGATAATAAAGGTATGTTTGACTTGTTGGTTGATTGCTTGTGGTTCAATTGTGCAAAAAAGCATGGCTATATGCGCCAAACAATCGTAAAAAGGCAAAAGTAAAACTTTATAAAAAGCAAAGAGAAATCAAGTTAAAAGCTAAACAATGGCCAAAAATCAAGTAAAAACTTGAATAGAATTAAAAAGCCTATGGTCCGCAAAAGTATAAAAACACAAGAACGCTGGACAGTGGCACCATCGCCAACGATACTGACCAACATCAAAATAAACTCTTAGAAAATACATGTCAAAATGATGCCACATTTCACATTTATAACAGAAGCACAAAAGCAAAATATGGACAAGTGAGACCTGAATGTCAGAAACGCCACATATTGGCGAATCAGTCCCACATAAAAGAAAATGATGAGTAAATAAACTGTGACCAATCCATAGCCTAGAAAAGACAATTTCCTCCCTCTGATCCTTATGGAAATTAGACGGCCAAATAACAACAGAAGGTTTGATCTGGAAAACTTGTAATGAATATCAATATCGATAGCCAATTGGCGCGAAGCCGTGCCTTGATTATAGGATTGTATTCCATATATGGGACAGGCACAGCTGTGACAATGCCAGAGCAGTTGGACTTTGATGTAGTGTCAGCAACCTCATTTCCATGAATACCAAAAATGCTAGGTATCCAGAAAAAACTGGATAGAAGTGGATGAGAGAGAAAATTGGGCCAGTCATTTTTGAATGTTCAAGAAAACAGAGTGAAAACTCGCATTAAGCGGTTCAAAGGCCAGTAGAGAGCTAAGAAAGTCGGTGTAAATAGTACAGCTAGTGTACTGCTTAGCTTCTATGTGATCTAATACAAGAGAAATGGCATATTTCCTAGCAGTAAACACAGAAACTGTAGTGAGGATTCTGTGAGCAACCATCGAGCCATAACAAAACATGGCAGAGCCAAAAACAATCAGATTTCAAACAATCCATTAAAACAGGAACAGAAGAATGGTTCAAAAGATATTTGACAAAGAGAATATCATACTTCCAATCAGGAGTATCTGTCTTCCTCAGATGACTCAAAGAAAAGTCACAGGTGGGGGTGGTAATGAACCATTGGAGAGATGGGCTGATCATCGGATTCAGCAACATCATCCATTGACAGGCCCAATTATGCAAGCTGTGCCTGGATTCGAAGGCAAAATTGAGGAATGTCAGATCGCTGTTCTCATAGAGCAAAGCTCACCAAGGAAGGAAAATACAATCCCGGGTGGGATGCCGGGGTAAGGATTGATGCTTGATATCATTTTGCAAATAAAGCTGTAAATGTCTGAGGTTAACAGGAGGTGAACAGACTCTGAACTGATGAAGTAAAGAAAGCTCCCAGGAAGAGCCGAAGCTCCAGATGGTGCACAGGGTCCAACATCTTCAAGACAGAGTCCCTAATTAAACCATAAACTATAGACCGATAGTCCAGCTTGGTTCATATGAGGGTGCAATAGAACTTGAGCATGGGACATCTGTCCACATCTTAAGAGGAGGAAGAGACGATGTGGAGAATGTTCACTGCCCTTGTACACTTGACACGAATTTGTTTAATGTGAGGAATAAACGTAAGCTTATGGTTAAAGATATGTCCCATTCTTAGCCACTACGGGAAGAACATTATCACTAAGATGGAGCTTTGGATCAGGATGCAAACCCTGCTGGTGGCAAAAATGGATGCAAATGGTCTTAGAAGAGGAGAAGGTGAAATGTTTTGCCCTGTTTCCCCCCAAGAAGCCAGTGAGAGCAGTTTGAATCTGCCACTTAATAAACCTCATGTTTGATGACTGACAAGAAATGTGAAAGTCGTCAATATATAGGTTGTTTGCAACAGTAGGAGAAAGTTGTTCAGTGATAGTGTGACATTAAGACCGTTCTGTTACAAACCTTTCAATTTCTCAATACAGCTTTAGTGAATTTTGTGTGTTTGTTCTGCGTAAGACTGGTCTTGAAAACTATATCACACGTATAGTGGAGGTCTGTGGAAAATCTGCTATCCTTTGCAGAAATGTTTGATAATAGAAATTGCAGTGTTGGGCAATTATGCCTAATCGTGACCATCAGTATGGGTATCCTTGACGATGGTAGATTTTTTGCTTGTTTGAGTGCAAAGTCACATAAGCTATCTGGCTTCTTCCCATTGCGGGAATCGAGACATGGATTTTAATGACCTCTGACTCGACAGGGGACGACGATAGAGGAATAAGATCTAATGGCAGCATGGGACTTCGAACGTCGTTCCTGTTCAGTGCGATTAACTTCAGTATAGATAGGGGTACTAGGCAGCGAGAATAGAATGCTTTACAACAATAATTTTTAGGTACATAATATTGACTATTTTTTTTTTAATTTTATCAATAATTCCAATCAATGTAAAAGTTAAAATCAATATTAACGACTTAAGTAATCTATAAAGAAAGCAAATAGTACTTTAGCAAAATCCTTTTCCAGTTACGCGACAAAATAAAAACAAACAAAAATCAATAGTTGCTACAGCATTTCTAAAAATAAAATTGGTGACTGGTTGGAGATTTAATTTCCCAAACACCAGTTTTCATTTTATGAAAAACTTTTTCAGCACCTTTGTTTTATTTCTATTTAATTTGTATAGGAAAACAAAATGTGTAACGAATAAACACTGAAATCATCTGAATAAGCTCAAAAATGTTTAACTCATCTAATTTAGTTTTTGATTTTTCATAGTGTATGATTCATGTATGTATTTGAATCGTCTACTTATTTTTCTTCTCTGTTTTCTATACATCATTTTATATTTTGTAACTGGGATGTCAGTTTGTTTGGTTTGTCTTGAATTTCGCGCAAAGCTACACGGGAGATATCTGCGCTAGCCGTCCCTAATTTAGCAGTGAAAGACTAGAGCGAAGGCAGCTAGTCATCACCACCCACCGCCTACTCTTGGGCTACTCTTTTACCAACGAATATTGAGATTGATCGTACATTATAACATCCCCACGGCTGAAAGGACGAGCATGATTCGAACTCGCGACCCTCTGCTCAGAATGTGAGTCGAGCGCCTTAACTACCTAGCCATGACATGGGTCATTCTGTAGGTTTGAGCTAAAATTACAATAACTCATTGTTTTTTACATTTCATGATGTCTGTTTTTGTCCTTCTATTCTCAAGGGTATACAAGAGACCTAAAACTAGTCATGCTAGGTATGTATCGATAAACGAAAACATCCCAGTCATCTCTAAAGGCCTTCCAAAATTAAGTATCCTTTCCAAGATAACGAGGCCACAACATTCGATAAATATTTCAAATACTCCAAAGGCCTTCAAAAAGTTAAGTATCCTTTCCAAGATAACGAGGCCACAACATTCGATAAATATTTCAAATACTCTAAAGGCCTTCAAAAAATTAAGCATCCTTTCCAAGATAACGAGGCAACAATGTTCGATAAATATTTCAATTACATTTTCTACTTCAATGCTTGTTGGTTTGGAAACTTTAAAGAACAAAGTGGATTATTATTATTCGGATTTACGTTTGTTTCCTTTTTTTTTTTGGCTAAGATTTCTTAAAGTGGCTTGAACAAAGGATATCTCAGCAAAGCATTATATCTTTATAATGTTGACAATCTTTTATTGATAAGTTTTTAATCACCTCTGTAGTTACAATTTATTGTAGTAAGTTTATCCATTATATAAAGAACCACGTCAACTCTTATTTTTAAAAAGTCTGTAATTATTATATAAAATATAATTTGGAATTTCAAAATAATTCTTATTATAATTGTTATCCAAATCTAGCAAAATTTCAGTTTTTCTCTTGATATCACAGTTTCAACTTGATCCTGGACTCATTATTTTTATATCTCATACTCTTAACATTAGAATATTGCGAATAAGCTTTTTTGAATCTACTATGTTTATCTTTAAATTAAAAGAATTATTTATAATTTTATTTATTCCAAAGCTCTTTCACCACTATGAAAGCTTTGCTTAAACCATCTTTAATTAATATACTTAGAGCTTTCGCTTATTAGAAATACACTTAGAGCAATAAATGGGATAGTTTGATCCATTGGATAGTTTTTAAGAAAAGGTGAATAATATACTAGATGTGGGCTCCATTAAACAGGATAGGTATTACGATATTTATTTACATTTAAGCCTTGGACCCTACTAAGTAATCTAAGCCCGCATAAAACAACGGCTGCTACTGTCAATGGAAATTACCGAACAGCAGATTCCTATTTATAAATAGATTACGTGAGAATTGTCAGTCCCATTTCTAATTGCCATCAGTCTGTGGTTACGCCCAAAGCTACACGATGTGCTATCTGTTCTGTGCTCACCACGGGTATCTAAACCCGTTTCTTAGTGGTAGAAGTCCGAGCCTTATTGTAACTAAAATGGAAGTAGGTTGAAAAGTTTTTTGTAGTGACGCAATGATTTTAAGTTGTTTCTCTACAGGAGTATAATTATTTTAACAAAATGGTGGCACTTTTCTCTTTTTCTTTGTTTTTGTTTTTTCATTTTTAGAAATAAATAAACCAGAATATAAGGATTTTTCTATCCCCCAAAGTATTGCAGGTTTTTAAATAACGATCTGGTAATATTTACAGACTAATCCCTCATGGGGAATCTGCCCTCTGAGTTCATCGTTTTGTGTGTTTTTTGTGGCTAACATCTACTAAGATCTCTATCTTCTTCATCTTATACTGGATAAGATGATTTTAGATTATTTTGCAATTGTAGGATTTATTTTGTTTCATGATTTAAATATTTTTACCTATAAAGACACTGTAGAACAAAAATCAACATGTTTCTTATGATGTATCTACAACTACAATCTAGCTTTACACACACACACACATGTATATATATATCTTATAAAACGTCTATATAAAATATTACATCTTTTAAACAGGAAATTGTTTCAATCCTATTCCCACTAGTGGTAGTAGTGTTGGTTACCAAAGCTCAGGATAAACAACCAGTATGTCTATGTGAAGAAAATGAAGATATAATGCAACGAAAACACGGTATTACGGCCACTGTTCGGCAGTGAGTAGACAAATATTTAATAATGTTGATAAATACCTATATGAGCAATGAGACCAAAACTACTTTAGGGAAAAAAAAAGTTTTAAAAGGTTTATGTTAAAATCGTCTATGCATTACATATTAATGTCACTACAAAACTAATTTCGTTTAAATGTATATATGTCTATATATTTAAATGTATATATGTCTATATCCAGATTGCAAATTTAGCTAAAATTTCATTGTTAATTCTTAATCTACTTATGACTTTAATTTGCACAGAACCCCATACATTGTTAATCAAGACAATGACACGTACTTTTAATTTGCTGAATGTGATTTTTGATTAATATAAGAACTGTGCTGTAATTTCATTTAGGCTTTTTTATTTCCAGTGACGTGGAATCTAAAGTAAAGGTAGCTCTAGAAGGAAAGAGTAAAAGATGGAGATGGAGAAGGCATTTCCCTCATGATCCATTCCTGGAGTGTGCACACCATAGATGTAGACATAAGTAAGTTTGGATTGTACTCGTGTCTAAGTCGTTGTTTGGTTAGGGCACTCGACTCGCAATCTGCAGGTTACGAGTTTGAATCCAGTCATCACCATGCGTGCTCGGCCTTTCAGTCATGGGGGCGTTATAATGTTATGAACAATCCCTCTTTTTGTTGGTAAAAGAGTAACGCAAGAGCTGGTGGTGGGTGGTATTGACTAACTGTCTTCACTTTCGTCTGCCACTTCTAAATATGGCATAGCAGACGATTAATGTAAATAAAAATTCTACATATCCGTGATGATTGTACAACTATACTACGACCTCGCTTCACTATATAAAGTAAATTAATTAATACTTTGATAGAATGCTTTTAGCAAATAAATATGGCTAAAGTATCGAATAGTTTTAGCGTCCATGTTTAATTTAAAAAAGTCAATATATATGTGTTACAGAGGTTATTCGCCCTGCGTGAGAACGATTTTCCAAGTCCACTTCTGAACTATTTCCCACATCTTCGATAGTGATTAGTTTGGTGACCATGATTACACGTTATTATTTCTCACTGTAGTTTTCCTTGTAATAGCTATTGGGGACTTGAGAGGTTTGCGGTTGAATGACTGCTTCACCCTTTTTTTTCATGAAAACTGTCGATCTTTTTGAGGTGTGAATATAAGTTTGTAAATGTTTGACTAGAGCGATTTCATGAACCTCAATTTCTTGCTTGTTATCTTGCTAACAGTACCAGAATATAGTATAATATGCCTAAATTCCTCACAACGTCTCTTTTGAGTCAAAAGATTATCTTTTCTACATTACAGATGAGAATGCTGCTCTTGGTTGACTTCGAGTGAGATTTCGGAACCCATTTCTCTATTAAATACTCTACTGTTTGAGCTATTCTGCGTCATGGAGAACATTTAACACCCCATCTTCAAAAACGCGCGTCCTTAGTTTCCACATTATTTAAGAATTTTGTCGTATGAACATTTCTCTCAGAAACACAATCAAATAACTATGAGTTCTTCATTAACGAAACGCCATTGTAATACCACATAACAAATAGTTCTCATAAAGTGTTATTATCCCTTCATAAAGACTCTTTTAATTTATTTTTATACTATCACGCCAATTGAATGTACTTAAGTTGCATGCTTATTTTGTTAAATCAAGTTGCAAGTAACTTAGTATACACAGCATAGGTTATTTGACCGAATGTTTTTGGTTTATAATGTTGTTCTTTATCGATAATGATAAAACATAGGGATATATTTGAGCTAAGCTAGAACGTGAGACAAAAAAGTACAATTGTAAGTAAAGTAGAAAATGTAGGCTTCATCAAACCAAATGTTTGACAAAGAATTGTTTCTATAAATTTTGGAGGACTACACTTTTTAAAGATAGTTATTGGTTCTTAATCAGGTATTTTCGTAGGCAAATCTAGCGTTAAATAACTAATTTGTATTAGTAAATCTCACCAAAATTATTATTATATCAAATGCATAATTAATTTTTCGAATCAAAAATATTTTTGAAGAAACCCATTGAACGTTTGAAATATTGATAGGTGAGATTATTTTTCCTGACTAATGATTTTGTAATTTTTTTCTTTCAGTGGTGATAGGGATCGCTGTTCATCGTAAGTATTGCTTCATAAATGTATGATACAATCTAACCTTAATAATAAATTATTTTAGTTTTATAGACAAACCTCTTTTCCTTGTCTTAACTATAATGTTAATATAATGTCTAACCTTTGCAGAAACTGACGTATCTCTAAATTTCACAATATATATCTTCCCATAATAGGAAATATAGAAAGTAATATTTAAAATAACGTTAAGTTGTACCTTAAGAATTTGGTATAAAACTTATGTTTATAAAACGACTATTTGTAATATTATGATGCTCATTCTTAGAACAAACTCTAATATTTTATTCTCACTATTGTTCAGTTAATCTGATATTCAATAAATTTTGTTATCTAGAGAAGTATATACGTTGGCAGTATGAAAAAGGTTGTTCTTACCGATAGATCTCGTGGTCCTTCTTATAAAATCTACATGTAATGATAAAGGTTGTTTTTAACCTCTTGATCTCTTGGTCCTTCTTGTAACATCTACATGTAATGATAAAGATTATTTTTAACCTCTTGATCTCTTGGTCCTTCTTGTAACATCTACATGTAATGATAAAGATTGTTTTTAACCTCTTGATCTCTTGGTCCTTCTTGTAACATCTACATGTAATGATAAAGGTTGTTTTTAACCTCTTGATCTCTTGGTCCTTCTTGTAACATCTACATGTAATGATAAAGGTTGTTTTTAACCTCTTGATCTCTTGGTCCTTCTTGTAACATCTACATGTAATGATAAAGATTGTTTTTAACCTCTTGATCTCTTGGTCCTTCTTGTAACATCTACATGTAATGATAAAGGTTGTTTTTAACCTCTTGATCTCTTGGTCCTTCTTGTAACATGAAGTCTACTACATGTAATGAAAAAGGTTGTTCTTACCACTAGATCTCTTGGTCCTCCTTGTAACATCAATTCCACTACATGTAAGCCCGAGTTTGGCTACAATTTAAAAGGAGAGCTTCGGTTGATTATCCAGTTTCCAGAAATTGACTTTGAACAATGCATATGGAAGCATACGTGCGAGTAAGTACTGATAGCGACGAACATCGCTTTTATACTTTCTTTATTTCCATTTGATATCTGTGTCTAATATTTATCTAACTCCCAAAAATGAAAGTGGTAAGATTTCATAATTAGATTCTTCAACCAAATTATAAACATAGGCTGAAAGTAGAATATATTTTTACAGCATCACACATTCACAAAATATCACTAAATTCATTAACAAAATATCTCTAATTAATTGAAACTGGAGACATATAAGTAAATCTGATGAACATTTAAGAATAATGAATCTCGGTTTAAGTATACACCACGGTTGTAACACATTCTGCATTTTTGGGGGATCCTGTCGTAAGCTAAGCTCTAGCGGCGGTGGTGGGTCGAAGCATTTCATGTAAAAATTGTCCAAGGAGGCTCAACTGGAGTATCAGAACTTATTGACCATAGAGGTCAATTTATGACCTCTGTGCTTTATTGTTCAATTTACTTCATTGAAATCCTGGCACTGTGGCATCAATCATTTTCCTGCATCAAGAAAAAACACGGTCCAACTGATCATGTGAAAAGTAGCACAAATGAGGCCAATACAAGTCAATATGTCATAAAACAGTATATAAGAGTATAAACCGTTTCTCTGATATTGTGTCTAGAACCTTCGACGTAAAATATCTGCCACTTATCTTTGTTCAGCTTCTAGCATTTGAACAACTCTGTAAGTTTGCATTGCTATATAAAACAAAATAACAAACGTTTGACCACTAAATAAATATATAATATATATATATATATATATATATATATATATAATATAAATATATAATAACGTCAGAGGCTCGCGAAACGTCTGTAGAGATTTAGCTGTTTGAAGATATCAATAAGCATATTTATTAACAAACCTTGATAAAATTCTAGAAATATATTTATCAGTAAAGCTCAACAGAAATCCAGAAATGTCTACGTATCGTACCCAAATAGAAAGTTGGAATGATTGTGCGCAAATCTACAAACAGTGTTACCAGAAAGTTTATTAAAGTAATCAACAAAGCAGCAAGTGGCAGCTTTGAAGAAGAAGAAGAAGTAAACGAATATATCATACAAAGTGCATCGTCAAAAAAGAACCAGGAAAGATTGGCCATGATTAACCTATATCTTTTACGGTGGCCTATAGGACACCAAATGACTTTATTTGATTCACAAAAAAATCATATTTTGAACACTATTGAGATTTTTTCACATACTCTGACTTCAGTACAATGTTTTACACGCGACACTCTGTTTTAAGCAAATTAGATTTTTTCTATATATGTATATTTGTGACCCTATCCTACTTCTTGTGCATATTTACTTACTTTGGAATTTTGAAGTAATGCTTTCTAAAGCTGCTTAAAAATATGAAGATTATCTAACCAAAAATAAAATGCTGAATGCTCCGTGTCATCATTATTTTCATTCGGTTTTTATGATGTTTTTGTGGATGACATCATGTATCAATTGCTGATAAAAATGTATAATTATTCTACATCTTTTTCTCTAGAATGTTTTAAAATGTTTCGCCAAACTCCTTCTGTACTCCTTTTCTTTATTTTGTCCCAAACTTTTCCCCATACATACCAGCTTGTAATTTGTGTGTTAGGTTGGTTTTACATACGATTAGTTAGGGCCTGTAAATACACGTCATACCAAGGACTGTCTTTTGTAAGAATCCATGGTTATCCAGTAGCTACTTTTGAACCATGTGTTATTCTGAGCTGTATCACTCTTTTTAGAGCTGGCACTTTCTCTTCATTACCACTTATATCAGGCCCGACATGACCAGGTGGTTAGGACACTCGACTCGCAATCTGTGGGTCGCGGGTTCGAATCCACATCCCACAAAACACGCTCACCCTTTCAGCCGTGGGGGCGTTATAAAGTAACGGTCAATTCCACTATTTGTTAGTAAAAGAGTAGCCCAAGAGTTGGCGGTGGGTGGTGATGACTAGCTGTCTTCCCTCTAGCCTTACACTGCTAAATTAGGGACGGCTAGTGCAGATAGCTCTCGTGTAGCTCTGCGCAAAATTCAAAACAACCAAACAAACCATTGATATCTCCTATAATCACTGTTTTAACTCTGAATGTCATATTCTCTTTTTTTCCTTACCTTTCATCACCTGTTTTATCTATCTTAAAGTAAACCACTTATATAAAGTACTTTATGCATACTTTACAAGCTAATCTGATTATTGGATGATGTTCATTTACTAAGACCAAAATGAAATGAACAAACAAAGAAGTGTTCATCGTTTCATGAGCAGCAATAGTTTAAGTCAAATACATAACAAAACATATTAAGCTTGTTCAAATTAAATTAAGATATTGAATATTTTTGCCTACAGGTGAAGAAAAATAAACAAAACTATGTTTTGAGCATATATCGTGTATAGCTCATTGTTGTATCGTTTTTAAAGCTCATTGTTGTTGTTTTTAAACTATGTAGAAAACTCGACATTTTAAGAAAAAATTATATGATCAACACCTTCAATACCTGCCAATACTAGCAGCACAAATTTTCAGCCTTGAGCCTTCTTCAGGTACTTATATTAAAATAGTTACAGCATAACAGCTGACAAGATAACCGCTAACAAGTACATATATATAGGAAAGCTACAAAACATGCTGTAAAACAGACTACATCAAAAGGAAGAATAGTGTGAATTTTACACAGCATATCTAAACCTTAGATGAAATATAATTAAATGTAATTTTATGGAGAGAGAAAACAGCACAGCCACAAAATAAACAACCAACACTGGGGCACAAACCCAAATTGCGTTGGGGTACACCATCTAACCAGTTTAACCTCATTTTCGCAGGCCTTACATGCTTAGAAGAAAAAAAGGAACAGACGTGGGTGTTCTAGCCAACAATGACTCACATCTTTACCACAATAATAAGAAAAACATAATTAGAATACAATACATCAATGGGGGAGACAGCAAAACTGACCTTGAAGATAGCATTTTAGCCCCCAATATGATGTTTGGACATAAATACCAAGATGTTATGGTATTAGCCATCCTCTACCATCCCATACTACTATATGGATCTTCAATGATCCACACAGTAGCAGGTCTTATACAGGGATGGTGATATAACCACATTAATATGTCAAAATAATTAATTTCAATTATTTCCCCTTCAATAAATTTTAGAAATTATTTTTTATAATTTTGTTTATATCACTATTTTCAAATTTATTTAAATACTTTTTATATCTATTATAAAATAATTTAAAATATTTAATTAAAGTATTCTCATCAAAGCCATTAGAAATCAGTTTATCTACTAATATATTACTATTAGATATTAAGAACTGTATATTGCTACACATTTCACAATACCTAAGAACCTGTATGACATTTGGTGGTACATTACTGTTTGAGGAGAAAAGTCCAAAAATTTGAAATGTAAAATTATTTCTTTTATCATAAATATTAATATTACAATAATTATTAATTATCTGAATGTTTAAATCTGAATAATTTACTTCAGTATTTGATATAGAGATGTTCCCAATCTGTAGAACTGCAGGATAAATGTTACCTATGTAATTACTTATAACTAGATTATTAATACTATTCAAATCATCAATGTATTTATATGTTAAGAAAAATATTTCCGCCCTTGGAAAATTATCTACAAATTAATTTTCGTAATAATAAAGATATCAATTAGCAACGCAACGTGAATAATTAAACCCATCGGGATACCTACTGTTTGTATATAATTATGCTTATCAAAAAACGTATAATTTTACATAAGCAAAAATTGAATATGTATTTAACATTATTATTAACAGAAAAGTCTGATTTTATACGTTTATGTGTAGGTCAATAAATTGATCTATTAACGATTTTTTTAATAGATCAATGTAAATCTATTAAAGCATAATTACCTGAGAGGAGATTTTATATTGTCTTTCAAATGTATGTATCATCCAAATAGATAATCAAATAATTTATCTTTTGTTATCCTTTATTTTCTAGCCCTTTAAATAGATTGAACTTTATAAAATAGGTAATCAAATAATTTATCTTTTGTTATCCTTTATTTTCTAGCCCCTTAAATAGATTGAACTTTATAAAATAGGTAATACAAATAATTT